TTGACATAATGTGATATTAACGTTACAACAAACAATTATACTAATTAGTTACACCAATCAGTTATACTTGTTCTATAATATATCAAATAGTTACTCATTATTCTGATAAACCAAACAACTACACCAAATAATTACACGAAATTACGACACCAACCCAATTTGTCATTTAGTTATTTACATAAACTAAAGAGTTACATCATTTAGTATCACAATATTGTTTTATCAATTATATACACAAAATAGGGTGAACCAAGAAATCATACTAAAGAAGTACATCATAAAGGGACACCAATGAATCAATGTATGTTGGGATGACGTTTCATATCAAAATATTATGCCGCTTGTAAGAATCAAAAGTCCAAAATAGATATAACTCAAAAGCAGTGAATCTCAATAGGGTTACTCCAAACTATTACAATAAACTAACAATTAGTGTATCTGTTTAATAATCGAATTTTAAGATTTTTCTACTTTACATATATGCATTCATCATAAAAGATTTCAAATTTTATTATTTTCATTTCACAAAACATGTTTTTGGATTTTTTTCAAACGAAAAAACTGAATTAAAAAAAATAAAGAAACTTGTATTATTAGGTGATTCAAATACCGATTGTAACACCAAATAGTTACTAAAAATAGATATAGAAATCAAATGCCTTGAATATCAAATAGAGTTACTCCACACTATTACAATAAACAAAAAATTAGTGTAACAATTAAAATTTTGTGTTTTTCAAAATTTAAATTTTTTATATATTCTTTCAACATAAAAAAATTCAACTTTTTTATTTTCATCTAGAATTGTTAGTGTTTTTTAATTTTAGTTTGGGTTCTTCCGATAAGAAATTGCAAAAAAAAAAATAGAAACTAAACATTAAAAATCGGGCCTGAAACCTTGAAGGCTAACTTTAATGTCCAGAGAAAAAGATTCCAATGATGGAGAACAATTACACCAAACCAAATTGTTGTACAATTATACGAACATTTACAAGAAAATAGGATATCTTCTTCCTCCTCTTTTCTTTTAAAAAAACCCATTTGATCTTCAATAAGGTTAGAAATGATTATTTCCCAATATTACCTTCAAAATCTGTTCATAAATCTATTTGAATCTCAAAAATGTCGAAGATGAAGGGACACTTTGTTTAATGCTTCCTTTTTAGCCGCTTGATTCCTTATTAGAGTCAAGATTGTTGTTTGGCATCCAAATGGGGTTTGATCTTCTTTCCTTTTAACGAATGGCCTTTTGGTCATTTTCTTAAAAAATGCACTTTTCCCAAATAATTTTCTCTATTGTAATTTAGCTCAATTAAGTTCAAATTTTTGTACCAAATTTCATTTTACCCCTTAAAAATATATAAAATATATCTCTAATGGGCTTTCTATTTAGGCTAGCTATAATAGAGAGTCTAATTTAGCTCTCTACATTTGGAGAGTCAAACTTATTTTCTATTTGATCATTAATGAATGATAAGATGACAATTATACATTTTTCATTAAATAAAAAGACTGTTCTCTGTTAGAATAGAGAGCTTATTGGAGTTGTCTAAAATAATATCCTCTCTATTTCAAAATTTTATCAAAGATGTTCTCTATTTTAAAAAAGTTTCTCTCCAAAATAAAGAGTAATTGGTAACGACCTGTCTGTTTTTGTTTTTTGTTTTCAATTTTTATCAACATAAAAAATAAAAACACTTTTGGATGTGTTTTCATTTTTATTAAGATACTGTGTTTTGAAAACAAAGTCAAAAAATGTAAACAAAAAAAAAGGTGTTTTCATAAACACGTAAAAATATAAATAGGCGCGCTCTAGTGGAGAATTAATAAAATCCGGACTTCAAATCTTGTTAGCAGCAAAAAATAAATTTTTTGCTAGGACTATAAAATCCCTCCTTTTATTTGTTCTTTCTTCTCTCTGCAGACGTTAGAGCTCCATTCCTCCATCATCAAAGCTCTAATCTACTCAATCTCTACCTCTCTATCTCATATTTGGTCGTTTATACATCGATCTCGCATCTCTCAAGCTCAAATTTGCATCTCTTTTTACTAGAAATTTTTTTTTTTTAACTTCAAAGCTCATACCTGCTCCCCTCTCCTTATTTTTTTTTAACTTTGTACTATACATATATCCATAGATCAATACATATATTTTTGTGTGTGTTGGTGTGTGGACTTGTGTGTTTTCGTGTGTGTCTATAAGTGTGTATGTGCGCGCGCGTTGGGGTCTGTGTTTGTGTGTGGGTCTTATTTTCCTTCTTCCCTTTTTTTCATTTTCATTTTTTTTATCAACACATGTTTTTTGTTTTTGTTTTCATAATTTGTTAAATATGATTGACTACCAAACATATTTTGTACTTTTAGTTTTTTATCACAGAATAAATAAAAATTATTTATGTTTTTTTTTGAAAACAGAAACATTACCAAACACATCTTATAGTAAGAGTGTGTGTGTGAGTTTGGTGAATTAATGTATTGATACACATACAGCCTATTCTGATGTTTCAGTGTGTACATAAATATGTATATTTTAGTGTATTAGTATATATATGTGTGTAATAGTTTGTTTTTGTTTGTATATATGTGTTTTAGTGTATTAATGTGTGTTTATGTTTATTCTGGTGTATTAATTTCTGTATGTTTGATGTCTTAGCTCGTGTGGGTGTATGTGCATATTGATGTGTTATTGTGTGTGTGTGGTTGTTTTGCTTAAATCTATTGAGACTCCCACGTTTTATTTCAAAGTCACATTGTGCTATTTATTCAAGAAAATCATTTTTTTTTTTTTTGCTTTTAGAAAAAAGACTCTTTTTCTAAGTTTACTTATTAAAACTTTTTTTTAATACAAAAGCAAACACTACTTTCTGTTTTCTTGTTTTAAAAAACAAAAGAATACTTTAGAAAAGAACTACCAATTGGCACCAAATCGGGTGCTCTAAGAGGCCCGAATACCACCTAATATCTCCTACATAAACCACGGGAAGGAGGGAACAAACTATAACACAGCAAGAAAGTGATGAATATGAGGAATTTACCGCCTTCACAATATTTTCCAAAAGATGGCTGAAAGCTTCAATGGTACTTCCTACAACAGGGAGAAGAGGAAGTGCAAAAGCCTCATGAACTCAATTTTCACATTTACATTTGCTTTTTTGAGTTCATAGAATGGCTTAAAGCGGGGCTACGAATTGGCATTAAGTTCCTCCCTAGTAATGGCACCTTTTGCTTCTAGTACATCATGAGAAGAACAATATATAAAGAGGGATTCCCGTGAACAATATTAGCCATGAACGGGGCATGTATTGGAGAAGCTTGGAGCTGATCCAGCATTGATAGCTTCTTACTTACTCCTGAAGGAAAAAAATGTAGGGTAAATTCCCCAACATTAACATCTCTATAAAGACATGAAGATACAACAAATAAAACAGACCCATAAAAGCTTATGCATGGCCATGAATTCATATCCTGGAAACGAAAGGTAAACAAGTGAAGAATATTGTAACAGATTCATATGTTCCTTTTTTGTAATCCTTTACAAGAGGTAAACAGAAGATTCTGCAATACACTTGTTCTGTATTCAGTCGTTATACTTCTCATATGCTATATATTGCAGACAAGAACTATCATTGTCCATGTAGTATAACTAAGAGTCAGCAAGATTTTGATTGGGTTTGGTAACAGTCACATATTTGCACCAACAATATCCTAGGGAGGACCTGTAATGTAACCGTGTGGCCATATAAAACTAATTCTGAACTTGGTAGACCTTAAAGAACCAAGTCTTTTCCATAAAGGTATGACAGAAGATGAACCTACGACTGGATGTCAACTGAATCTTGCCATATCTGCAACTGGAGAAGCAAAAATTAATGGATCAGATTGGGCTAGCCTCCAGTTAATTTAATGATGAAAATTGATAGAAGAACTTAATTAATACGAAAATGATATTTGAGGGACAAAATTGGGACAATTGAAAGTTTAGGGAACAAAATGAAACTAACGACAAAGTTTAGGGACTAACTATGCTTTTTACCCAAGAATCAACTAGTGGCCTTTCGGTCCTCTCAAGAAAATGCACACCCTACAAAGGATCCAGCGGTGATACCCAAGGAAATGCCAAAGGTCCAAAAATTTCCAGTAATACCATTATATTCAACAACAGTTTTTTATTGGCCGTTACTTCAGGATAAGAAATAGAGAATCAATGTGGCATGATTTAATATGTGCAATTTGAGGTAAAATCCAACTGATCCAATATCAAAGTTTGATTTGCAAGAGAATTGATACACATAAAACAAAAACAAAAAATCTAGAGTAAAATCAATGCATAATTTACTAAAGAGTTAACTATTTATTTTACCCCTAAATTATACAATTTGTGTCAATCAAGCTCTTGAAATACATTTTATATCAATTTAGCCCATGAACTATAACATTTGTGTCAATATGACCCTTCTGTCCAAATTTATCATTAAGGTTGACGAAATTCTTCACATGCATAGCACGTGACCCCTAAATTATATCTTAATCCCCAACTCACGTGATGCGCACATGAGGAATTTCGTCAAAGTTAACTGTGAATTTAGACGGAAAGGACACATTGACAAAAATACTACAGTTTTGGGGCTAAATTGACACAAAACATAGTTTAGTAGTCAACTAATATGCATCCTCATTCTATGATTATACACATCGAAGAATTTTAAATGTTTAACACGACAACGAACTTTTCGAGAAAATTACTTAGTTGAGTTTCACTCATAAAGATTACTTCACACTTTATAATTTTTCATTTTTTCTTATCAAAAAAATGTCTTTTCATTTCTCTCGCTCAGAAAAGAACTTGAATTTTGAGTTTCCAAAAAAAAAAAACCTGACAACTAACATCTACTTTAAAATTGATGTCATTCTTTCAGTTTAGCACACTAGGATAATAACAGCTTCCAAAAAAGATTAAGAAAAAGGGGAGAGGGGCTGAAAGCCTGAAACAATTCACAAACCTGTCTCCTCCTTCGGCATTGTATGATGTACCATGTGCGGGCCATCACATAACATGGCAAAAGAAAACCAGCCAGCTGAAGAATGGAAACCTTGAAATGAAATTCACAAACTCATACACTTTTGCCTACTTAAATAAATCAACTGCAGATAAATGCTTACTTGAGCCTATGCAATCACCTTGAGAAAGTGTTTTATGCAATGATGAAAATAAACATATTTGTTTGCAGAGAGGTATTGAACACAACATAACTTCTTGCTACTTAAAAGATTCTACATGGTTTAATAAACATAAATCATTGTGCTTAAAAAAGGTTGATATCATTCACAGTTTCATCAACTTGTCCAGCTTCAACAAAAGTAGAAATTGTGAATCAGAAAAATTGCTGTGTAAACATAGCATGATAGTAATAATTGCCAATTCCAATTTCTATCGGAAGATTAAAACAAACAAGCAATCCAATCAAAGGAATCCAAATACTGTCAACAAGAAAAAAGCCCCCCTCCCCCCTTCTGGCCCATCAAAAAAAAAAAAAAATGCCAATACATCTATGATGCACACATGACAGTGACATAAGTTAATATTTGCAGATTTATGTGAAATTAATGAATATGTGGTTGTACAAAGATTTTTTACTTGCATCAATTTTTTTTAAAATAGGATAATGGCATCAAGTATCCTTCAGGTTGGAAGTTGATAACAGGGAGTCACTAGTTGAGTGTTCAAAATTCAGCTTAGTAACCTTGAGGTTGAGGGTTTGAACATGAGGAAGCCACAATATGCAAATAATCTGCACCCAATATCTGCATTTGTTAATCTATTTTGGTGTTTTTTGAGATACTCACATTACCAAATAGTCAAGATAAAAGCTTTATTGAAGTGAGTTAAGCTTATACTCACATTAAATAATGATGTTGACTCCTGCACCATCACAAAGTCTCTTGTGACCATCATAGCTTGACGTATCAGCAAGACTAGTATGAACTACAAATAGAAGCAGACCCACATTCTCGAGTTCAAGAGGCAAAAGTAAAAATGGCTTCTTAAATTCGACAAGTATACATAATTGTTTGCTCACAATGATAGCCACGGAGCGGAAACACACTAGGCTGCCACTATTTGCAAACGTGTATTCTTCGTATTCTGATTGCAAAAAGTGACGCTCAGCTGCAGTGAAAGCCAGAAAATGAGGATCTCGAAAATCAATGTGTGAGCCCCATGCTTGCCTGAAGAAAACAAGGGAAAGAAAGAATAGAGGACATTATGAATCATGATGAGTTTGAAATTAAGACAGTGATGTAACAAGCACAATAACTAGTGTTCCTTGAATGAAGCAGGCAATATTCTGGCACGAATTGCATAACCTTACTATCAATTATAGGGAAAAATAGGAAAAGGTTAGGTTGTGCTTGAAGCAACTAAGTTGACCTATACAGAAACAACAAATAAACTTCCGACCTGCCTCCTTATAATAAAGTTTGGCTTTTTTTGCAGGATCCTATACAATTGCGCCACCTTGCTGGTGACGTATGGACTAATGTTTTCAAGTGGGCAGGCCTGAGGTAAAATTCTTGGACACATGATGGAAGATCATGATTGTAAATAATAAAATAGTACCATCTTCATCCACCCATCACGAGATTTTGGGGGTAACCCAAAAACAGAGAAGACGGACAGCATATGGTATTATACGAATGTAATCACATATATGGAAACCCTGAAGCATACTCTGCATTTAACTAAAAATATCCTCCAAGTGACATAAATGGTTTTCCAAGTGGATGATATTATCACAATATCATTGACTAGTCAATAAAAAGAAAAAAACGCTCATTTTCTGACAGTAGCAGTGAAGATGAAACGCTCATGATTCATCATGCAGCAACAACTGATTTTTCCTTACATTTTTTATGATATTATAGAAATGAAAATGATCCAAGCTGGCACCAATTTACCGGGTTCCATAGCAAGCTATGCCCAGGTTCAGTATTGCAGATAATGCTATGATAATAGCAAGGCCAAATAGAGTACTGCTCATTTGAGGCTTCAGAGAGGCTGCATCAAAAGTAGAGAGGGGAGGGCAGTTTACATGCACTCTGCCCAGGCATCTAACCAGCTCGTGCAATTCGCTCACCCACAATATGAGGCTTTTAAACAACAACACTCTGCACTTCTGCAGTTTGGATCTAACTTGAAGCAGCAAAAAAAAAAAAAAAAAAAATTAAAGAAGAGAATATGCAAAAGTGGGTTTGTGAACATGCAGGGCCCACATTTTGTAACATTCGATTTCAAAATAGTCCAATTAATAAAATGTGCCAAACTTGTCCCTTTCCAAATTCGACTCCTATACAAACAAGGCCAAGCAGGGCTGTTTCAAATTTAGGATCATAGGTCCCCTTGTCATTATGCCAAGAGACATATATCTCAACATCAAAACCAACACCTTAGAATGAATGACTAAAAAAAATTATGTTGATGAAAAGGTCTCAACATGCATGATATCAAGATTAATGATCCATTGAACCACATCTATATATAAATGTCCACTGAGGATTGAAGAAGCTTAAGAATTCATTGGCCACTAAGTACAGCTATTAGAATTATATAATCAGGGTGTAGGAAGTGAACAGGTGAGATCTACATGTTAGAATTACATTTTTGTTCATGTAATAAACTTAGAAACATTTTTAAAGAGAAAATCCTTGTATTAAAATGTCATAAGTAAACAGACAGCTTGGTTTCCAACAAACATAGGAGTGACCTAGCAAACAACCACAAGCACGTCGAAGGTGTAAGATGTCAAAGACATCAGTCTGCCTGTATTATGCATAAATCCAAAAGCTGAATTGAAATTTCCCAAAAACCCAATTCTCGGCGAGACCCAATTCAGATCCTCATGAATTTTGTTGTTGGATTATGTTTTAAGCATTCAAACTAAACATTGAATTTAGTCTAACAGTAGTTCAATTTTAATTAGGGCTCACATTCTTACAGGAATGCATTCCAAATTGTTCACTGATTAGGCAACAACCTTCCAAGCAAGGATCAAAATTTCGTTTTGGTGCATTATTTTGATTACCTAGGAAACGGAAACATTTCGACGTGTTTCAGAAACATTTCGACCAGTTTTGGAACGTTTCGACTAGTTTCAAAAAGAGAATGAAAAAAAAAATATTTAAAAAATATTTTTTCAGAACATTGGTCGAAATATAATAAAATATATCGAAATACCTTGAAACATTCCGAAATAATTGTGCAAATGCATTGAAATATAACAAAATATTTCGAAACATTATGGAATACCTCAAAATATTAAAATTTTGATTCTATCACTAATTCGTCTCGGTCTCCTTGGAAACGGAAACGAAAATATTTCGGATGTTTCGACTGTTTCGAATGATATTTTGATCCTTGCTTCCAAGGCCTTGAGGTCAGCAACATTTTTTCAGCCTCACTAGAGATCTATAGTCCCCCAAGAAGTATATCTTGCATTTTCTTGGGTGATATTTCGCAGCAATTCAGTAACAAACTTTTAATGGAGCCAATAATTTGTTAGCTTATTAATAAGGCTTCTATGCCTCATTAAATTCTCTGCTCATTGCTTAACTATTTTCTTATGGGGAGGCCTACACACACCTCTTTCTTTTCATTTAGAAGTCTCCACTCCCTTTTAAAGCCAATCTGACATTCTAATTAGCAAATCTCAAAGCACTAACGAACCAGAAATGCAAAAGAAATGTATCCAGATCCTCGGTTAATTCCCCAAATGACAACCTTGTTGGTAAATTAATTTCTCTGTTTAGTTTGCTTAGATCAAGTTGCAGCAAATGCAACATCCCCACGAAAAGAATGCCAGCAGAGATGATTTTAAAAATAGATCACCTTCAGCATTGAGAAGTTTAAGGGAATTTTCGCAACAACTTGGTCAGTACAGTAACCGAAAATCAGCAAACAAATCATCTCTGCTGGCCTTTCATTCACCAAAGTCATGACATTAAGTTAGATAAGTGTATGTCAGTTCTTAAACCGATCATCGCTTACTAGGCGCTACTGTTAATTCTAATTAGATATGTAGTTTCAAGAATATGAATTATATGAGTTTTCAGTTTCAGTTTAAGTTGAATCTTCCAGCTTAATATGTGTGTTCATGTTCAGTACCTTATTTTTTTGTGTTCACAATTAATGTTCGATTTTTTTGAATTGTATAGTGCCTTCAAGCACGGGTTATCGCTAGTGTGTGTGTGTATGTAGGGATTAAAGTTAAGAATAGAGAATAAAGAGGTTCTATGGTTCAAAGTATAGGCTGATATCGATACAAGTTGGCTGGGTCGATACTATTACACGATGCATATAAACTCCAAGTCCTACACGACTTGGTTGAGTTGTATTCGAGTCAATCTCGTGTCGGCAAGTTGTCGTCACTAAGACGTCACGGTATGACCTAAATCTCTTGTCATGTTCAACATTTTCTTTTAGGGTCATATCTTCTATGGTTCAAAGTATAGACTGATACTGATACGAATCGGCCGAATCGTATCCGTCTCGGTATCTTAGGAAACGATACCGTTACACGATATATATACACCCCTATTCTTGCACAACTCGGACGAACCCGTCCAGTCGTCCGGGTTGTATCCGACTTAATCACGAATCACCGAAATATCATCACCGAATTGGTCGATACGGTTCTACGACGATGCGGTATAGCATGAATTTCTCGTCATATTCAACATTTTTATTTAGATCATATCACGCGTCGACGCTGCGGCCGATGTGTCTTAGAGTTCTCCGAGTTGATAGCCGATACCGCGACTTTGAACCATGCCTGATACAGTGCCACGACGCCGTGACTGATGTGTCTCAGAATTCTAAGTCGATGGCCTATACCGCAACCTTGAACCATAGCTCCAGCAATTCCTTTAGATCCAAGGATTGATAACAAGACTCTATGGCATTTACTAGTTGGCTATATGCGTAAGAAAGATTTGCAAGAATTTTATGGACATAATCTGCTGGATGGTGTAAAAAACTTGTAATTTAATTTTTGCAAGTATTGATTGCATAGAAAACATTGTAGTGTTCATGTAAGGACAAGACAACATAAAAACAATTATGTATTAGAATACATACACTGTGACTTCTCTAGGAAAGTGCGCGTCTATTTCATAAAGCACAATAATGAAGTGCTTGAAAATTCAAACAGTGGAAAGTTGAAAAGATAGTGGATGGATAATGGAACCAAAAGAAAACTCCATGGGTTAGAAAGGTCTACGAGACAAAAGGAGCTACTAAACATAATATTGCAACAAATAGGCCATAAAAAAATTGGTATAACCAAAAGAAAGAACATGACGTTTAAAGAGAACAAGATGTATGAGCATTCATTTAGGCTTGCCAAAATCATTTTTCGCTGAAGTTGTTAACATAGGATGATATATTGTTAACAAGACACCACCTACAACTATTAGTGCAAACATACCTGAGGAGGTTTGGACAAGCAAACCCATTAGCTATTCTAATTTGAGAATGTGTGGTTATCATGTAACACCCATATCCTAGAGATAAGGGTACTCTTGTCATTCCATGTCTAATTTATCTAGGGAATATGATCTTTCCCATAATCTCAATGAAGGAGTGTCATACACTAATGTATAAGGGGAAGATAAGTGTATACTGTATCTGAGCAAGTACATTGGTAATTCCGGAAAAGAGCACAGAAATGAATTTCAATTCGTTTACTCAAGGAGTACAATGGACTTGATATCATGTATCAGAACAAAGATAGAACAAAATAAGTTGTGGACTTTGTAGATACAAACTATGCAAGAGATCTAGACAACGGTCCCCGCTTTACCCGTAGTTGAAGCGAAATATATATGGAGAGATTGCTTTGCTAGGTGGTTGGAAACACATGTTGAGACAATGGTTTAAGAACTCACATTTCAGATACAAGCTTTTTAATTGTTCAAGCATGTATTGTGTTCTCAATTCTCCCGATAATAAAGGAGTCGGATCACACCCCATTGCTGTAAACAGGATTTTGTCGAATCCCATAAATTTTGGTGTTCAGATTGCTTTTGTGTGCTTTGATAAAATTTTGATTCTTCATTTATTTCTTATTAATGTACTAATCAAAATGCTGCATGGATTCTCCAACAAGAAGACTATAGGGAAGCAAGAGAGTATATTGTCCAGAGTGAATATAATTGAATTAGCAAGTCTTACCAAATCAACTGAAGATCTTGTCATTGACTAGAGGCACTAGATAAGAAGAAATCTAGCATTCTAATTAATCATAGTTTCTTCAAGGACCCTACAGTCCTTGTCTCAAACCTCATACTCCCACACACGTCCTCGGGGGGGATACATCTGAATACTGTCCAAAAAAACTAGCGGGAATGTTTGGGCATGGAACTATATTCAAGGGTATTTGGATTCTAATGATTTCTAAATGGTGATGTTGTGCATTAACCAAACTATTAGTCTACCATAGTAGCAGTTTTGACATTTCTGCTAATCAAATCCAGGCTTTCTGAAACAAGTGACATATTTTATCTCAGATTACCCAACACACATACATTCAAGGCATCACCTTCCACACCCATCAGAACTGCTTGTGGTTATCACAAAAAGAATATACACTGCAAGATCGTCAACCCGTGAATCAAAACTTAAACGCATAGGTTATATGGTTATAAACAAAGGACAAAGCACATAATGAAACCAATCACAAAATCAAGCAGTAAGAAGTTACAAGACAAAAGAAATATAATGAAACCATATAGAAAGAGAAAGTTGTTCCATGACAACCCATCAAGATGAAATATATCGACTCTATTAGGTGCCTAAAATGCTCTAGTTTTGAAATTTTAGGAGAACCCCATTGTTTTTGCTCCATTAGCTAGCAGGGAACACCAAAGGCAACAAAGAATAAGTTACAATGAAAAGTATATTCAAATCTACACAGGATGGTTATCATTGTGGTAGCATCTTTTATTTCTTATTTTTCCTAATGTCTATAGGCCAGTCACCAGAGTATTATCAACTAGAAATGTTAGATGAATCTTCAAGCAGTTGCCTTTACTGTAGATATTTCCTGATAAAAGTTAAAGTTTAGGGCAGGAAATTAATTGTTACATAGGTGATTGCATCTCTGGCAATTACCTCATATCAATTGCCATTACATCAGCATTGCATCTAGCTGGAGGGAGAGTATAGTTCGGTGAAAAAACCTATCAATAAGGATCACAGTAATTACTTTTCAAACTGATTCTGTTCATAAATAGGTACAGTTTTTTCAAAGCAATGGTAAAATTACCAATTCCAAACCTGATTGCAGATTTCACAAGTGATGTCGCCTTTTTTGTTGCACCATCTCTGGATGCACTTCCTATGAGCAAACTGCATGCCAGAGGGGAGGGTAGAAGAAAAGAAAAATATCAGCCACAATTTACAACTCTACAACTAAGCAAAAACTTTAAGAAACCAAAAGAACGGGAATGTAGATAATACCTTAAGTGATAGTGCAGAATCATGTTTATAGATTCTGGGACTCTCCAAATTCTCATATAATAAAAGGAAAAAATTTTACACCAGCCGAATAATGCCGAATATATTTGAAAATCAAGATATGCATTCAAATCATCACAAACCATAATAGGCCAACAAGACATTTTTCAACAACCTCAGCAATCATAACAAACCATCAGAACAAACAATCAGATCCAAATTTCAATCATAGTGAAGAACAAATCAATAAATCCCAGTTGCTCAAATGTTCGAACAACTGCAATGACAAAAAAGCTTTACAAAATATTTATTCAATATCCTTCGAAAAGCTCTAAATGCTAAAAAAAACATAAGGACTGACAAACAATTATAACTATGAGCTAACAAGGATAATTAGGAATGTCAAAAATATGGTGCCCCGCAGCAAAGCCCAGATACTGCAGTGCAGTAAAGCACAAAGGGAACTACACAAAGAAAATATAAACAGCCTACAAAAAATATAAGTACACAGAAATTCACCATAAAATATTCTAAATTTAGGAGAAGGAAAATTTGAAAACTCAAGTCTCAAAATAGAAATAATTAAAATCCAACATTTATTACAAGAAAAATTGCACAAGGCATTTGACCAGGTTTATTAACCAATTTCCTAAAAAAAAAAATTAACCAATTTCCGAATAGGAACAAAAACAAATTGAAAAGTATGGGAAAAGTGCAAGCCGGAGAGAAACATTGAGCACCCCGATGAAACAATGAAAAAGGATGAATTAATGCACAACTTTAGAATTCCCCACATGAACAAAACCAATAGAAAAAGAGCAATGGTATTGGGGAAGAGAGTCCCAACAAAAACACGTAACAAGCAGCAATAAATACAAAAAACCAGAAAAACCCACATGCCAAAAACAACCCTAACAAATATACAAACACATACCCCATCAATAAACTTACAAAAAAAAACTGAGAAAAGAACCAAACACTAAACAAAGAGAAAGGAAAAAACATAAACCCAGAAAGTGAAGACCTTGAGGGTTCCATTACAGCCACAAGGAGCTTCCATTTCATGCTCTTCATCTTCCTCTTGACATATCCTACAATCTTTTACAGCATTTGAACAACCCTCTCCACCATCACCACCACCACCATTGTTGTTGTTGTTGCCTTTGTTTAGAGTGACTACTCCATTGTTGTTGTTCTCATAGTTGTCAGTGGTAACTACCACTTCCCCACCACCAGCACCACTTCCTAAAAGCCTTTCTCTCTCATTCACCGGCTCAAAGCATGATGATGCTATTATTCGATCCACACACACCATGAATTCATCCACCATGCTTTTCTCTGAACTTTCAACTCTCTTTCTATCTCTTTAGAGCAATGAAGACTGAGGAAACAAATACCTAGAAACAGAGGAGAGAGAGAGAGAGAGAGAGCAAGTGCGTCTAAAAAAGTTGCACCTGTGTGTAGTGGCGGAATTTACGAAACGGACCTGTCTTCACTTTGACTACATAGACGATAATGCCGTTAATTGGTGAGTCAATTTGCTAATTGGTCCTCAAAATATTTTGTCAGTTGTAACGACCAAAGTACGGCAGCATCAGGCGATCAATGATACTACGAGTCCTTCTGTAATACCGAAATTTGTTTCGCTGTACCAAAATTTAATTGACACCATTGATTTAATATTTTCGATTTTCTAGCTGTTGATCAGTTTAAAAGGTTGGATATTGTTAAAACAGTAATAAAAATTGAGTAAAATTTGACAAATAACCTCGTACTAAAAAGGAGTTAACATAATCAAAAAATGTGGTAAATTACCCTAAATAGTTGTAACTCCCACAAAAGTAAGAACCCAATCAGAAAATTATAACTCAATTCAAAAAAGATGAAACATCAGTCCAAAAAATATAAATTAATGCATAAAAGTTGAAATTCTATCTCTAAAAATTTAAAACTAGCCTCAAAAAATTATAGTACAATCCTAAAAAATTAAATCCCACCCCAAAAAATTATAACACAATCCAAAATAGTTGAAATTTCACCAAGAAAGTTATAATCTACAAATCCGTAAAAGTTGAAAGTCACCCCTAAAAATTAGAACCCAAATCCAAAAAGTTATACCACTATTCAAAGAGTTGGAACCTCTCATCTAACAGTTAGAACTCACCCAAAAAAGTTATAACTCAATTCAAAAAAATTGAAACTTTACCCCCAAAAAATATAAACTAATGCATAAAAATTGAACTCTATCCTCAAAAAGTTAGAATCCACCCCCAAAAAAATATAATTCAACCCTAAAAGTTAAATCTCACCCTAAAAAGTTGTAACCCAATCCAAAATAGTTGAAATCTTAGCAAAAAAAATTGTAATCTAGCTTATCCATAAAAAATGAAAGTCACCCCAAAAATTGGAACCCAAACCTAAAAAATTATATCGCTACATAAAGAGTTGGAACCCCTCCCCTAATAGTTAGAATCTACAAAACTTGAGTAAATTTGAACTTTTTCAAAAAAAGGACAAAATAGTAATTTATCATTATAATGCGGGATTAAAATTCATATATTTCTAGAACTCGGGTGACGCAATGGATCTCACCGCTGGATTTGTATCGCGAAATCAAGTTGTCCAGTCAATTTTCATCAAATTTCGAGATAGTCAAAATTTTCACGCTTTACAAGACAAATAGGGGTCGGATGAACTCACAAACGTCCCCAAAAACAAAAATTATAAAATTTCCTTATAATTGAAGAAAAGTTCAAATAAAATTAATTTGAACTTAAATTTGGACAAAATTAAGTCGTTTCAGGACAAAAACGGACCTAGAAGTAGGAAACGTGCGGCGCAATGTGGACCGCGCAATTAAAAAGTATAAATAGGGGCTAAATATCTGAGCCATGTTTGGTTAGTAACTGAAAAACAGTTTTTTGTTTTCAAAATTTTAAAAACACTCAAAACCTGTTTGCTTAGCATTTTTGTTTTCAAAATTTTCGAAAAAATGAGATTTGAAATACAAAATCAGAAAACAAGCCTGGCATGTTTTCAAAAAACTTTCCAAGGAATTCAGAAAACACAGAGGTAAGGTCACTGTTTGTCACTGTTCATTAATGGTCTAAGTATAAATTGTGCTTTAATTTTTTTTTTCAATCTCTCTCGTCATTTGTTGCCCTGCTCGACCATCTTCTTCGGTTAAGCTCTAGCGAAACACAAGCCACACATCAAGCGTAACTTTGGCAAAACTCCGGCGAATCACAAGCCTGTCTTCTCCGGCGACAAGTAACCGTAGATCTGTTTTTTTTTTCTATTTGTTTGCCTTGATTTTTTAATAGGGTTTGTGTTTGTTAGATTTGTTTGCATTTTTCCTTTTTACCTTCAGATCTATAACAGATATGTTGTCTAACAACTCCGGTGAACCGATCTTGATGTTCTGTAGACTCATATCTCCTAGATTTGATTATATTATTTTTTTGCCTTGAAATTATATCCGGTGACTACTTGTTTAGGCTTGGGCATTTTATTTTTGGTGACTGCTTATGATTTTTTTCTGTGACAACATATCTATTTTTTTTTCTATTTTTTTTGCCTTGATTTTTAATAGGGTTTGTGTTTGTTAGATTTGTTTGCATTTTTCCTTTTTACCTTCAAATCTATAACAGATCTGTTGTCTAACAACTCCGACAAACCGATCTTGATGTTCTGCAGACTCAGATCTCCTAGATCTGATTATATTATTTTTTTTGCCTTGAAATTATTTTCGGCGACTGCTTGGTCTGGCTTGGGCATTCTAATTTCGGTGACTGCTTATGATTTTTTTTGGTGGCTTTGACATTCTGTTTTCAATGACTGCTTATGAATCTGAGTTGAGAACTGGTGATTGGTTAATGTTTATTGTTTCACTAAGGTTCATGATCAAGTGATAATTATCTTTAATATTGCCAATAGCATGAGCATTTGGTTAATTGATGCTTGTTTGTTATTACCAAGTAAATTGATTGTCAATTTGTGATATCCATGTATAATGTATTGCATATTTTGGAGTTCATTGCTATTTATCAATTCTTAGAAGTTTTGTGGCTTTACTTTTGTGCCGGGGAAACATGTCCATTATGCTTGTTTAATTTTGTCTCATGGTATTTATTAAATACAACAGATCTGGCTTGCAAAAGTGAACCGAAGGGCTTTGGAGGATCAACTTTGGGTGCTCAACACAAAGTCTGGCCCATTGATCAGTTGGCTGTTCAGCAGGAAGTTTCAACCTTACTCAAATCCTCGGTCGGCGAAAACGACATCTTCGATTTGTCAGACGTATCATCTGAGTAGGTATCTCGTATTCCTTAAAAATGAGAGCAATGTGGAATGTAACAGCATGTATGGTACATTTTTTTACAAGCATATGCAATGGTCGTATGTTTTGCATTTATTTAATGTATGAGTTATGAGTGAATTATGCAACATAATTTGAGTAATTTTTTTTTTTATACATGATTAATTATTATATGATGTATATTTTCTTAGATGTCATCCCAATGTAATGACGGTGATGATATGACCACTTGGCCACCAAGGGCTGAGGAGTTATTTAATAAATTCCTAGTCCTTGAGGTAGAGAAGGACAACCCGAATGATACGACCATCAGAGGAAAGACTTGGAATAAATTGGTAGGTTTGATGACCAAAAAAATGGGTCGTACTTACACTGTTGCAAATCTTAAAAGGAAAATACAATAGGTTAAAGAATAAATATCGAACTGTCAAAAAACTCCTGACCACAACTGGATTTGGTTGGGACCTAGAAACCAACACTGTGACGGTTGAGGAAGATGTCTGGGCGCGATATATTGCGGTATGCATAGTTTGACATAGTTGTGTATACTTTTTAGGCTAGTTATTTATTAAATTCCTTAATGATAATTATTTTTTTTAGGCAAACCCACAAGCGAAAGCTTTTCGCAAGAAAGGGTGTGACCACTTCAACTTATTGGGACTTGTCCTTGGAAAATCGATAACCTCGGGCCTTTTAGCCCGTGCTTCGACCCAACTCCCACTAAATTCAGATGAGGAGAGAGAGTTGGAGGAGGAGTTCATAACTGGTCAAAAAAGATCATCTGCTAGTCTTGATGATGATCTTGAAGGTCCACTTCCCTGTCCACCTAAAAAAATTGGAAGTACTTCAGGACATAAGAATAAGAGTTCAAAGATGGACAATGCTATGGATGCATGGGCTGCATTTTCACTTGCTAGGATGGAGAAATATAAGCGTACTTGTCAAGGGGCCACTGTGAATGACGCTTACAACATTGACACTTGCATGGATGTGTTAGAGGGTATGGAGGGTGTTGGATCCCAACAATATTTGGGTGCTTGTACAAAGTTCAAGGATCCTGAGTGGCGTCAAATGTTTATTAGGATGTCTGCACAGCGTAGGAAGGAGTGGCTTGACTCACTTGGTTAGTTATGTATGAAACTATTTGGGCATGGATGTCCAAAGTTATGTATGAAACTTTTTGTGTGTTTCTACCGAGACAATTTGGGCATGTAACTGTTGGACAATTGGCGTATGATGTGGTGCATGGGCTGCATATTTTATTTTGTATGTTTTGAATTTGTAACGTTGGAAAATGTCTATTATAAATGTAGTATGGTATTGAAAATGTTTAGTGGTATGATGTTGCATGATGATGTGGATCATTATCCTATGACTGTTGTCGTATTTATGCATTATAATCGTTGATTCTGTATTATGTTTGTAGTTACAATGGAAAATACAACTGCCCAATCAAGTGATGACTCATTAAGCTCATCAAGCAGTTCAGATGATGAATTCGACGATATGTTTTTTGTCAATATAATGTTCCCATATGCTAAGAACCGTTTGTTGAAATCACTATGCATGACATTTGAATTAACTGGTCATGAATGGGTTATGGAATTGTTGAATGGAAATCTATCACGCATATATAATTCTATACAGATGGATGCCGATACTTTCCTTGCATTGTGTAAAACACTACGCGATGGCGGTCACATACAAGAGGACTACCACAACCATTTGACAACTGAGGAGTCCGTGACTATTTTCTTACTCACAGTTTCACATAGTGTTAGACAAAGACTTGTTGTTGAGATGTTTCAACACTCAACTGAAACTATCAATCGCCAATTCAAGAAGGTTATGCGTGCATTAGCCAGTCTAGGACCTTCAATAATTCGGCCACAACTTCCATACGAAACTCAACCAAAGATATTATATGATGAACGATGCTATCCATGGTTTAAGGTAACAACTACTAAACATGTTACATATATTTTATTGTACTACTAAAAATACATTTTATAAATGTAGGATTGTATTGGTGCAATTGATGGTACTCATATAGCTGCATGGGCCCCTAC